TTCAATTTATGTGTCTTCGATAAATATGGAGCTAGGTGAAACATTTTCTGGTGCAGTCAGTAACGGGTTATTTTCCTTTCTAAGAAAGGCATGTCTTGAAGACTATTTCATTTAAATGAATGAGCCACTTTCTCCTGTCATGGTGCATGGTAGTGGCCTCCCTGGGCGCTGTCTGTTTCTCTCTCCCAGTTGACATCCCTTGGGCATCTCTTCTCACTTCAGCTAGAATTTTGAGCACATCTCCTTAATGAGGAGAAGTAGCTTTAAAAAAAAAATCTATTAACACCCAGGAAGAGAAGAGTCTTGATTGGCATCTAGGGGATAGGAGGGGGATGGGCTAGATGATTGAAAAGGTGACTTTCCCCAACTGTGATCTTCTCTGCTAACTCCACTCTTCGTACTAACATAATACCCAAGGTCAGCAGTGGAGTGGTGTGTTGAACCAGTGAGAATTTGTAGAGAAGCGCTATCCACTGCCTTCCTCTCGGGAACCCATGAGTACTCACTTAATAATATCTTTCCCTAAAGAACAAGGGAGAAGAGCTTCAGTAACCAAAGGAACGGGATGGAAATTCCCCCCAAGTTTTAGATTTTGGAGGCTGTCTGTGAACTGAGACCTCAGACTGTCTCAAATAATCGCTATAGTTTCAGTAACATTCTACAATGTCACAGTGAATGAATGAACGCCAGCCAAGCATGTGGACATCAGCTCGTGTCACAATGAGCTGTACCGGAGGCAATCATAAATATGTAAACAGGGGAGTTCGGTCGGTTTAAAGTGAGATCTGATCTGTCACACTGAGTGTAGGTATTTCTGGCCGAGCAGGAGAAAATGAAGTGTGTTCTGGCAAGAAGTGTTAACCCTGGAGAGAGGCCGCTCGCTGACTGGCGTGAATGAGGGGAGAGCGTGATTGCTTCTTGCTCGCTGTCCTTTCTGAGCAGCTCTTTGGCCAAGCCCCAGGAGGACTGAGCTTTACCACCTTAATGAGGAGCCGTACCCAGGCTTCCAACAGCTGTAAGCCAAGCAGGAGAGGAGAACTGTTAGAGTTTTCATCATGTGTTGTGGGTGCTGGAAGTGCGTCCACATCCGCTCCCCTCAAAGCCACAAGACACCTTCTAAAGGGTCCTAAATTTCCAGGGTGGGGCTTGCTGGGCAGAGGGGCTGGGATCCACGCTTTTGCACAATTTGGATTATATATCAAATAGGATAACAGAAAAAAAATTTACTACCTCTTGGTGCTATATAATTCAACTAAGAAATAGTGAATATTTTTCTGTCATTAAAAAAAAAATTGTCACATTCTTCTCTAATAATATATCTTTCCTCCAAAACATAGCCATTCTCAGATTCCAGAATCACATTCTCAATTCTTTAGATAACCAAACATTCAGGCAATTTTGAAATTTTCCACAGCTCAAAGACAAAGCGTTTGGCTGCTCACATTTTAATTTTCTCCAAGGCCTAAAACTGGTGGCAGATCAGAAGGAATAAACACACCTCAGTACTAAGTCCCCAAACCCTCACACTTTTTTATTTTTAACTCAGCCTGTTACCATGTAGAAAAACAAATTCAATCTTTGAGAAAAAAATATTATGAAATATTTCAGATATGTAGAAAAGTACAATTAATATAACGAAACCTCTGAGTCACTATTTAACATAAGAAATGAAACGTGACCCATGTGAAGTCCTTTCTATACCCCTCCCCACAGCCTCCCCAGATTAACTACCATCCTGAATTTGGTATTTCCACACGTTATTTCACTATGGTTTTGTTTCACGTTTAAAATAAATAAATAAATA